ACTTGCTATTCGTGGCCTCTCTATCTATGTGATAGTTATCCAAAGGCCTTTGGAAAGGAGAATATTTGCCTTTCTCTGACCCTGTAAGGTCCCCTATCTCATTAATACATTTCCGTGCTGATTTGCATATTGATAGTCCCACACTCATTTTTTAGCTTCTGCATTTCATGATTGCAGAGTTTGGGAACCACTGAAGTCTTGTCCACTTGTCTCCAAAGACCAATCCCTCCCAGAGTCACTGCATCACTGGACCTACAGTTCTGCTGGAATAAGCTGTCCAGTAAACCCCAACCCAATATCAGGGTTCTCTAGATCAGAAGGGACCCCCTCATTGTTCCAGGGTCATGTTTCTCCCCACACTTAAGGCTTTCCCATGTTCTCACTCATCACTTGTGCTGTGTTCAGGTGGCAGTACCATGGTAGAAATACTGATTTTACTGCTCAAAAATATCCAGACGGGCCCTGGCCCAGTAGCTCAGTTAGAGTGTTGTTCCAATACACGAAGGTTGTGGGTTCAATCCCTGGTCAGGGCACATATAAGAATTAACCAATGAACGCATAAATACATAGAACAACAAATCTCTCTCTCCCCTTCCCTCCTTCTCTCTCTCCTCCCCTTCCGTTCTCTCTAAAAAGTCAATTAAAATATACTTATATATCCAGCAGTAAGTGAGATGCCAGTCTCTCCTTCAGTTACCTAGTTCTCCTATATGATTTGGTGCAAGGAGAAAGAACCTCTTCATTTATGCTTAATCCATAGAAGAGGAGAGAACAGTATAGCACTAATACTTTATTCCTGATAATATAGAAAAAAATCCTAAATTCCCTCTCAAGTATAACATATTATATGCCATTTCTTCTGAATTTGGGGCACCTTACTGAATGGCCTGGACACAATACAAATACCCGAGTATTTTCTAGAGAGAGAGTGTGAGTTTTGCTAAATGGCTACTTTCATAAGACATTAAAAATTAAGATTATATTATTTAGCAACATCGTTTGTCATAAACCATCTATCATTTCAAACGTTGACTTGTGTTGTGACCCCCAAAATACTTCTTCAGTTCCCAAGGCAGGGGAAAAGCAATTGCATGTCATTTCATTAAACTACTCTGCCTAATTTGATGCTAAAAATATTTCTATAAAAGTCCCGTTTAAAATCCTTCCAAAATATGTCTGTTTAAATCTTATCATTCTGCCAGGGATGCCTTCTAAATGTTAATCTCTGTACTTAATTGTGCCGTTCAACCAACACACAGCAACACCTGCTGTGTAACAAGCACTGGGCTTTGGCCTGGGGCTGCAGCAATGAGTGGATATTTCCACTGCCCTTTTAGAGTCTGCATGCTAGTTGTGGGAAGTGCATAGCCAAACAGAAAAATAAATAAGTTGCAGATTATGATGAGCAATGAAGGAAATAAACAGAGGGTGTTATTATAGAAAATATAATTGGGGTGGGACACTTGAAATATGGCAGTGAGGGAAGATCTCTCTGATGAGGTGATGGCTTAGCTGAGATGAGAAGTTTGGGAAAGAGGCAGTCAGGTGACAGGCAGACAGAATTGTATTCCAGGTATAGGGAAGGCAGTGCTGAGGTTTGGTGTGTGATCTGTTATTCTAGGAAATGGCAGAGGACCAATATCATCAGTTTTATGTTTGTTTGTATGTTTGTTTTGTTTTTGACAGAAGGCAAGAATCATGTAGGGTCTTAGAGGCCCTGCTGAAAGATTTTGTTTATATTCCCAGTGCAATGAAAAACTGTTGAAGGATTTAAGCAAGGAAGTAAATTGAAACAACTAAATTTGTTAAAGACCACTCTGATTTCTCAATACAAAACAAGTCACAGAAGAGCAACAGCAAAAGCATGAAGAGAGTTAGGAGTCTGTTACAACTGACAGACAAGAGATGTCGATGATTAGGACAAAGACGGTGTCACTGCAGACAGAGATGATATACTGAGAATTATTTATAGACAGCACCACCAGGATGGACTGAATATAAGTGAGGAAAGAAACGAAGAAATCAGTGACGCGTTTTAAGGCTTTGGGTGGTTTCTAGTGTCTCTGTTTGTTTTTTGGTTGACCACCTGGGTGAAGGATGGCACCATTTATTGATCATTTTAAAATAGACGGAAAGAAAATAATACCTGAAAAGATGTTATGAATCAACAATTCCACTTCAGACATGTTTATGAGGATGTCTCTGCAAGAGGAGGTATCAAGTAGACGTTTAGATTCACAAGTCTGGATCCCACAGAACAGGTCTGGCTGAGATGTCACTGTTGAGATTGTGATTATTCAGACCATATATATAGTAATAAGAACAAATAAGTCCACCTAGAGAATGAGTAAAGAATGATGAAGGCCAACATTTAAATAAATATTTAGAATTAAAATACAGAAACAGTGAAGTAGACAGAAAGCCAGAGAATCCAAGAAGTATGCTATAGATTCATCAAAGGGACATTTTGTGATTTTGGCCATAGCAATTTTGGGAAGCTACAGAAATATGAAGCATTTTACAGTGAATAAAAAAATAAAATAAAAAGGATAAAAATGGAGTAAGGGAAACAATATCAATACAAGTTAATGTCAATTTACAGTGAGGGGAAAGAGAAATAAAAGATACTGAATGAAAATATGGATCAAGGAATGGAGTTTTTGATGTATTTGGTAATTTTTAAGATATGTTTATCTCCTTTTTAACCTATTTGAAAGGTAGAAGATTTTAGGTGGCATGTGAAGATAGATATAAAATAGTAATGAGGTAAATAATTTGTGTTTCAGGAGAAGATTAAGAGGAGGACCAAACCAGTGGTCTTGAAGACAGATTTAAGGGATATGATCTAGACTGACAAGTATACATTTATCTCTGGTGGGAGAAGGACCAACTTTTTTTATTTTAATAGTGAGGGAGAAGAAATAGGTGTTGACTTCTAGGGCTTTGGGGAATTTTCTGTGTGTGTGTGTGTGTGTGTGTGTTTTGTTTTTGTTTTTTTGTAATTACATAAACATGTATGTAACTATAAGAAGGTTTATAGCTTCTATGACAGAAAGATGAGAATGTTACCAATTAATTAAATACATTGATTATTTAAGAATGAGCTATCCTGTCTTTTGAGGGGCCTGGTGAAGTCCTTTGTTCTTTTATCTCTCTTCTTCATTTCACTGTGGTATTGGAACATCTTTTCTGTTAGCATTACACTGTTTAGACAGAAAATGAGAATGGATAGATTGTATATGTAACACACAGAGCATTGTTGATGAATATAATGTGCTATTTAGCATGTTTCATGTTCTGACAAAAATGAATGTCTCTCACTGCTATCCAAGCCCAGTAGCAGCCCTCTTCTTGGGTGAATATTACTTGAAGGGCCAATTGCAAAAAAAATGTTTTGTTGTTGCTGCTTTTTTAATTCTCACCTAGGATATGCTTTTATTGATTTTTAGAGAGACAGAAAGGGAGGGAGGGAGGGAAAGAGGGAGAGGGGGAGAGAGAGACAGAGAGAGAGAGAGACAGAGAAAGAGAGAGAGAGAGAGAGGGAGAGAGAGAAACATTGATGTGAGAGAAAAACATCAATTGGTTGCCTCCTATATTCACCCCTACAGGGGATAAAACCTGAAACCTAGGTATGTGCCTTGACTGGGAATCAAACCCAAAACCTTTTGGTGTATGGGATAACACTCCAAACAACTGAGCCACCCGTGAGGGCAAAAAAACAAATGTTTTCTTTAGAGATAAGCAACTCTCTTTGAAATAAGAACAATGTTAGCTAAAGTATAAAACCAATCCTTCCAATTACAAATAGTAATCTCTATGACTATGTAGTACATATATAATATAGTATATGTATGAAATAAATATATGTGTGAGTAGTATTTGTATATCTAAATCATATCTATATAATATATCTATATATCCATGTAATATATAGACAGTATAATATCTATATAAAACACATACTGTTAGTATAACCTATGGCTATACAATACCATATTATAGAAATAAATGTTATATAGGGAATTTTACTTAATACATAGCCTCAACTTTACAGTAAATCTAGGATAACAAGAAATATATGTTTTCAAGTGTTCATAGTTTTAAAGACATGATAGTGAAGTAAACAATTGCTTATAATGTTGTGTAATAATCAGTTCTTCATAAAATCATATATAAATACAAAAAACACAATATTAAATCTAAATACTAAAAGAAAATGATCGTGGAGATGGGCTTTGAAAGATGCATAGATGTATAGGAGCTATAAAGGAGACCTAGCATATTTAATAAGAATAGTAACATATAGCCCAGTCAGTATGGCTCAGTGGTCAAGCATCGACCCATGTACCAAGAGGTTGCTGGTTTGATTGCTAGTCAGGGAACATGCTCAGGATGTGGGCCCATTTCTCAAGGGGGCATGCAGGAGGCAGCCAATCAACATTCTTTCTCATCAATGTTTCTATCTCTCTCCCCTTCTCCCTTCCTCTCTCACTCTAATGTGAATAAAGAAAAGAATAATGCATACACAAAGGTCTATTATACAGGGGATATGGACAACTGGGAATTGATGGTCATTTAAAATTCCAGAGGTATGCAGTATAATAGATCCATTTTTCTCCAAATCAAATTTAGTTATTGAACATGTATCTAACATGCACAAATTGATTAATTCATAGCAGATTTTGGATGCCAAATATTTATTATATAGCCATTAGGTTAACTACTAGAAACTGAACACTGGTAGTCAAATAAAAGCACATGAAAATAATTACATCTTATTTCTATGATTCTAATGCTACCATATATAAATATTTAAAGTTCTTTCAACCTAGAGCCCTTTGCCAAACCTGAGTATATTAGTTCTAAACTGTGTTCATCAAATGTTTCCTTGAACCATGTACGATCTGAAAATTTTGCCTTAATTAGCTTCAGTTGCTTCTCAGACAGTATTACTGCACTATCTACACTGATTGTTATACAATTGCTCACATTTTCCCCAGATTTGGCAATGTGGAGGCTCATTGGAGATTGTGACTTGCTCCCATGTGGGTCACGTTTTCCGGAAGGCAACTCCATACACTTTTCCTGGTGGCACTGGTCATGTCATCAACAAGAACAACAGGAGACTGGCAGAAGTGTGGATGGATGAATTTAAAGATTTCTTCTACATAATATCTCCAGGTAAACAATTCTGACATTCTTCTTTCTATGCAGGAGAAAATATAATTTTAAACGTGCTTACCATGCGTTTTATTATTGTTTCTATTCTGCTAGTTTAAATAAAATATTATCATTATAACGATGCAGAAAATCGTGTTTGAGAAAGTTGTACTATAAAGTTAATTTTCATTTAAAATGAAAAGCAGTATATTGATCTCAAATGCCTAAGTATTCTTCTTTTCTTTGTATTTTTTTCTTGGCCTAAGCATTATGTTAGACAAATGGAGTAAGCAGTACACAGAGAGATCCAAATTTAATTTACGTGTATGAGGTCAATTTAAGAAAAAATATATATATTTTCAAGAAAAAGAAGCCTTTATTTTCTTGTTTCACAAATAAAACTGGCTGAGTTGGTAAGAAATGTTGATAATGTTTAGGCTGAGGTGTTTTTTCCTGAATTATTTTATTAAATAGCTGACCAGCAAAAGATTAAATTACCTACAGAAAGACACTAGGAAATTATGCAGATATTATATTTTATTTTTAGAGAATATTTAGTAACATAAATTGATTATAAATAGATATGTGGAAAAGCATAATAGGGATGATAAAATGTTATCCTACTTTAGTTACAGAGAAAAATAGATATGGAAATGGAAGTGAATGTGGGCTGTCACTGGGTGGCATTATGAATAACTTTATTTTTTGCCTTTTATTTCTCTATATTTTATAAATTTTCTTTATAAAACATTATTTATATTTAAATTTTATTTTAAAATACAATTAATTTTAATAAAGTGTTAACAGTTTAAAACATTTTAACATCATTAAAAGATAAAAGAAAAAGAGAAAGCCTTGTGAGAAAATCCCGCCACAAGGTTGTGTGATTACAAGCGATTTTATTCTTTATAATTTTCTAGAATTCTTCCACCATCATATTACTTATTTTTAAAAAAATGACTGTGAGACATGATTTATTTATTTATCTATTTATTTATTTATTTATTTATTAATTTTTATCCTCACCCGAGAACATTTTTCCATTTTTTTGTTCAGGTAGAGTGGGAGGGAGAGAGAGAGAGAAACATTGACGTGAAAGGGACACATCGAGTGGCTGCCACCCACACAACCCAACAAAGGCCGGGGACAAACTGCAACCGAGGTACATGTCCTTAGCGGGAACCGAACCCCAGTCTCTCAGGACTGCAGGCCAACACTCTAACCGCTGAGCCAAACTGGCCAGGGCAACACATAATTTATTTTTTAAGGAAAAAAAATGAAACATGGGAAGACACAAACAAGAAGAAGACACAGGGCTGCCTTCAATATCTGAGTCTAGATGAAAAGACCAAAGCATAAATTAATATCACAGGAATTCAACTACATTGATAAAATAAACTTCAATGTTCTATTTGGATAGTTTCTGTGTAGGCCTATTGGTCATCAATGTCATTATTATGTAACCTGTAAAAACAACAAAAATCCATGCCCACATCCTTTTTTCTATGTTATATTCTATTACGTGGTTTAGGAAAGCCTGTTTAGTTAGTAGTTGACATACTCTGATTTCTGAAAGTTTATATGAGCCTGTGAAAAGTCTTATAGATGAAGAAGGGAATGAGCAGTGTGAAGTTTCTTATTAAGATCCAGAATTACTCTACAGAAAAGAAAAATGACCAATACACGTGTAAATGTGTGATGAAGAGAAGGACTTTTTTCACACATTCTCAAGCCTCTTCTGTGTCAAGCAACTATTGCCAGGCACACTATTTAGTGCTTAGATGTATTTCCCTTTGCAGTAGAAAGCCAGTCCTGTTCACAGAGTTGAGTTCAGCAAGAGCATGTAAAATTCGCAGCAAGGCAGTGACATTTATACAACCTTTTCATTTTCTTTGGATGTTACTTTTTGAATTCAAATCATTACTTGTATAAATATATAAGTTCACATATGAAGAAAGGAACAATGGAACAGAGAAATGTGTAATGTGTGATTATATACCACTTACATTTAGGAACTATAAGTAATTGAAATAATTATAATTATATGTATTATATTCACTCATGATGAATATTATTTGTCAAAGTGATGTGTTACTCTCTTGTATGATTTCCCATTGAGTGAAAAAGGCAGATAAACAGTGGAACCATTTCTGAAACTAATGACATGACAAGCTTTAGAGTTGAAAGGGTAAAAAGCAAAAACAATGCTTACCCAACAGGGACTGTCTATTCTAAAAAGTGTAGCTTTTACATTATAGTAAATATCATTAGGAAAGTTATTGTTCTTATAAAATAGGCTCATTTAAATCCAGGAAGGTACCTTGGAAAGCAGAAAAAGGATATTTGGGGGATATGCTGAAAGGATCTAGGAATTTCCTAAGAGACATTTATGCTCCTGTATGTCTCAGACACAGCACTACTTAGTACGAGACCTGCCCGCCGTAGTGTGAGCAGAGAGAAAACCAAAGACATGAAACATTACATTGCATCTCAGTGGAAAAGGAAGAGAAGTTGGAAACTGGAGTTGGATGCCTAAACAATTCTAGCCCTGGGCAGGTTTCACATCATCCAAAAACAGATAAAGTGGGTTGTATTGAATAGCGAGGAATCTGTCATGTGAATGGTGTTCAGCCGTTCAGAGTAGATAACAATTTTTGTTGTTGCCGATGGTTTCTGTTATTCTTAAAACCCAAATCTCAGATTTCTTTGCTGTTGTCCAGAATTGTTGGGTTTCTGTCTTTCATCTAATTGGGTAACAGGTAATTTTGTAAATAGGAAAGGTGGTATGGGGGGATTTTAGAGGCATGTAAAGCACATTCATGCTGAGAATTACCTGCTTTATTATTATAATAGTCATAAACACACATAATTATGAAGAACTCTAAAAAGCTTATGTTGAACTCAGTTAAATTCTCCTAAAGCACCTTGGTGTTCTGGCTAAGGAAATTATGCTACTTTCTAGAAACCCCTCCATGTACCTGTTAATTTTTCTAAGACATTTTGTGAAGAGAATTCTATTTTTTACACCAGGACTTCTTTGAATCTTATTCTTCACTTAAGCAGTTATTAAAGGTGCAGTTTTTAAAGTACTGATTCTTTATTAGTTGAATTCTGACTTTCCAATATGAAGTAAAATGTCCACTTTTTTGGTTGGTTTCAGGGATGCTTCAGCTCTGTCTCAAACTGGGTATTCTTCCTTTCTAGAAGGTATATTATTTCCTGTAGTTTTGATACCATGGCCAGCCCATTATTACTGTGTGTCATATTGTTTCATTTTTATTATTATCATTTCTTATCCAAAGTAGTTCAGAGATATGTATTTCCAGTGCTTAGTGACTTTCCTGTTTGTGTAGTCCTTGAAAAAAATCAGGCTGAATAATTAGAAGAATGAATGAATGAATATGAATGAATTTTAAATAGGAACCACTTTTATTTCTTTCTTTCTACTGAATTTTCCATTGACATCTATTCTATATCGGGAAGTCTCTTCATAAAAATTGCAGCAAATCAGATCCACCTCTCTGATCCAACTCCTGGCTAAGGACCCACCAACAATAGTATTCCTCTGAGTTTGACATCAGAAAAGAACATTCTATTAGCTTACCCATGTGCTTGGGTTTTTATGATTCCACCATAATCATAGGCATACATAATAATATAATGTCATCTTCCAGGAATAATATACAATATAACAAGCACAATTTAAGCAGATAATAATATTCTCTTAACATAAGAGCCAATAAACTTAAAATAAGATTACTTTTCCACACATTGATTTTATTTTCCTCAAGACCCCCATTAATTTAAAGTTAAAATGCATGTGTGAATTATTTTATCTGGTTTTTAAAAAATATTTACTATATATTCTAATGGTTTTTGCCTGTGCTCATTAGCCATTGGCAATATTGGTAGAATTGGCAGTGTCTAAGTATGTTTCCTGAATGGTAACTAGATAAAGAGTAGAAATACTTTGAAATAGTGCTGAAGAATAGATGTTCAACATTTGTTTCGTTTGGTTTTTGGTTGTCTTTCTCACAATGCAAATACTGTAGCATCATAGGTTGTAAAGCCCTGTAGGCTCTTAAAGGGTGAGGCAGATTTTACTAGTAACTGGGCTGGCTGTTTCAGCTTAGCCAATCCAAATGTCCTAGCAAATTCTCTGAACCAATGTGATGTAAGAAGACACCAATCCTCACAGAACAGCCCACTATAAATGGCAGCATTCTTTCCCTGTTGGGCACACGTAAAAAGCTTAAGAACTTTCAGTGTAGTCACACTAACCATATATTTGAAATCCTGGCTCTTCTATAAATACATATTGATTTTCTTTCTTTGGGGAAGTAGATTTCTAAATGTGCATCAATCGACATGGTGATTAGAAGCAGCTGTGCTTATATAACCTCCAGTTCTTTCTTTTCTTAATGGACAGCTTGTGCTCTTGTTTTGAGCAGAAACAAATTGATAATACAATTTAAAGACTCCCGAAACATACCTTTAAGGGTATTTATGTGTAATGGGGAAACAGCGTATTTTCTTTTGGCAATATTGTAGCATTTTGATCTGTATTCCAGGTAAACAGAAAGCACACATTGAGAGAAGGATCCTTGAACTTCTTTTGAAGGTTAACTGTCTCTTTGTTAACCTTTTAAAAATGCTTCGGAAAATCAGCTCATTAAAGGTAGTCTTTGTTAGCAGCATCTTTGGATCTTATTAACATTAAAGTCCTATATTCATTTCAATCAAAATTTGTACCTTTAAAATACAAATATTTTTCAGCACGTTGATTTTTTTAAAGCTACAATGTTTAATAGCCAGCCCTTCGAGTGTAGGGCCTAATTACTTTCGCAAGTCATGGGACTGTGGTTTCAGGATGATTTAATAAGCCTAGGGTTTGATGTTTCCAGCAAAATGTGTAGCATGCACCTGTTCAAAGAAAAAAAATTCAAGGATATCAGTTTTGCTCAGGCAAACGTGAATTCATCTGAAAAGACTGCAGCACTTCTGAAAGTAAGGTACATTTG